AAGGTTGCTGTGAGGTATGATGGCATGGCACTCTACCAAGGGTGACAAAGTGAGACTCTGCCTTAAGATAGAATGATCAGATAATAATAAAAAATAAAAATATTCACCCTATAACATTATTGACTAAACTCACCATCACATCATGATTGTACCCGCATCTATCGAGTACACCAAGTCCTAGAATGTTCTGAAGACATTAGTGAGAGCAACGCATTTAATCTTCAACCTATAACCCTATAAAACAGGTGCCTCTGTTTGCCTTGATTTACAGATGAATAAGCAGAGGCACACAACGCATCAGTAACTGCAAGAGTCACTGAGTCAGTAGAGAGAGGGGCTCAGAGTGGAGCCAGGAAGTCTATTCCCATAGCCAAACCTCTAAGCCACTTGCTTAAGTCTCTGGCCAAAAGGAAAGTGTATTCCACTGCCCACATTACTTAGAGCACTGGAAATTCTGTGGTTTCTACGTAAACAGAAAGTTCACAGTGGAGGGGAACCATGAGGCAGTGCTCATAGGACCATGCTTTACTAAAGATCTGTGTGTACTGCCACGGCTATCAGTAAAACGGGCATGGTCCCAGCCCTTGAGGAGTTTATGGGGAAGATATTCACATTTACTCAAACATTTACTGAGCACCTGCCTGTACCCGGCACTGGGCACTGCCCACTGCCCTGGGAAATAGGAATAGAGTTATGAATGAAACTGGTAAGATCTCTGCCCTCACAAGTCTTTCATTCTAAGAGGGAGGGCACACAAATAATATCATTTTAGAAGGAGATACACAAAGTTTATAACAAGAAAGCCACCAATTTGTCACCAGAAGCTCCATAGAAGAAACAGAATGTTAATGACACTTGCAGATAAGGAAATGCATAAAGACAGTTCTGAGTGGGAGGTTCTCAAGCCTGGGGCAAACTTCCCAGCTAAGAAGATAGGAACCTCAGATAAGTGTGTAGGTTTTAATAGGGAAGAACCTGGGGCCTGAGGCAAGGGATGTGTCTCTCTTCAACTTAACCCAAGGCAAGTAAGGGCACACAGGGTTAAATCCTTCCCCAGGCCCTGAAGACTACATCCTAATCCCTGCACATATGCTCTCTGAAATCTATTTTTTGCCTTTGGGGGCTGAAAGTGAGGATGATGGTTTGTATTTTCTCCCCTTCCCTTTCGTGTTGAATCAGATACATCAAAAAATAGGTTAATCCCGACAAACCGGGCTTATCTTGGCTGACTTTGATCTGGAAAGGTAAGTCCTTCATTGTCAGCACTCAAATAACATCTAACTGAACTATTATTAAATTGAAGAATGTAAAGAGGATGTAAAATCTCTACGAAGACATTAATAGGTTTCTGACTTTCTAATTCAGTTCTCCTCAACCACCTTTTAAAACGCCCAGAGTGTGTCACCAAGATGAATATCACGTTAGTCAGCGGTGACTGAAGGATCAGCAGACACGAACTGTCTGTAAGGCATTTGAGAAGTTAATGGAACTACTGTTGAATCCTTTACAATTCACTGGTACTCATTCAATAGAATGAGGAAATTATTGAACTTCTTTCTAGAAAAACTGACTCACAGATCCTCGAGAATACTGCAAATTATATAACAGGAATTCTTCAACTCGGAATCTATGGAGTCCCTGAAACTGTGGGTAACATTTTATGTCTATCATGCACAGCCACAGAGGGATTCATTCATTACAGAACCGGAGGATCCATGAAAAGTTTTAAAGTATTTTCGTGAGAAATCCAAATGTTCCTTTGAATATGTGTTATCCTTATTGATAGTCTATTAAAAAAACCGTATTTCTAGCCCTCGGGGCTCTGGGACCAAACAAGGTAGGCACTGTTTCAAGTTCCACAAGGAAAATCATTAGTAAGGTAAGTTAAGTAGGAACTCTGAAGCCTACTAGCTCTTTAACAAGATGAGGAAGCAATAAAAAGTCGTGGACATAAGACTGCCCAGTAAGTACAGAGTCCTGAATTCCAGGGAATCCTGCGATTGCCCAGCTAGGTAACCTTGTGAACCATCCTGTCCAGTGTTTCCTAGTTGTATAATGTGTAAGTCTGGATCATAATCAGTCCTACAATTTTCACAGACTCATTAAAAAAAAAAAAAAAAAACTTGCAGTCCCCAAGTTTGCTTTGATACAACGTGGTGTTTACAGACTGAAGGGGAAGTTTGAGGCAATAGCAAAATATTTATGCTTTTTTAACTATTGGTCAGTATTAGAAGAAAAACCACCTGATGACTATAGTAACAGGATTTGTTTCTGCAACAGTTGAGAGACAAAAAGCAGATGAAAAAGATAAAAAATTAAGTATACCATGAAACACGCTGACTATCTGTTGGGTCATTTACCACTTACGTGCCCAGACTTCACTCCTGGAATCTCCATCCGTAAGCATAACCGGCTACTGGGTGTCTCCTTTTGGATATCCGGCAGGCGCCTCCAACTCTGAACTTGTCCAGATAGGAACCCGCCGTCTTCCTTCCCAAACTCTTTTCCAGTGTTCTCTTTTCTCAGTGGAACTGTCTCTCAAGCCAGAAACCTAGGAGTCAGGCTTTGTCACCCAGGCTGGAGTGCAGTGGCTTCTTCATAGCTCTGCAACCTCAAATTTCTGGGTTCAACTTATCCTCCTGCTGC